TGTGCATTCTGCTCATAGTTCAGTTATACAATCTCAATGCACCATGAAGTGTCAGGAAGACTAGAGTCGCACTGCCTTTCTATCACACTTTTTGCGGTCATTTTGAGACTCTGTTTGTATTGAGTCTTCTTCCTGCACACTCTGCAGGCGTGACACCTCTCCTTGTATTTCCAACATGTGAGAACAAGTCTGACACAGACAATAAGTGTGCTACATGTGTGAAAGGGCGATTTCGGACCGTGGTTCTAGTTCATAATAGATAGTTCTTTTCGCAGAGTCGATGCAGAGCTGTCACTACAGCTTGTAAAGCTTGTAGTTGCCTTCAACGTGTTGTTGTTCTTTCGTGCTGGTCGGCATTCTTCTTCCTATGGCATTTAATGGCAGACTAGAATACTTGTGGGCATATATGCTCCTGTCAGGTCCAGGAGACTGGCATCCTATGGAAACACAACTTCGGGTTTTTTTTTTTGTTTTTTTTTTGTACATTTCTTTTTAATGGTTTTACAAAAAGAAAACATGCATACAAACCAAGCCTGTGTGTGTACATCATGCATCACAGCAAACTACAACTAAAACAAGACAGAAACAAGGACAGGGCATTATAACAGAGACAGAGCGCTGTACATAGTAACCTGTATGTCCTAAAAATATATACAATGTATCAAATTATACCTGAGCTTATGTAAAACGGTACTTAAATTATACATATTATAAAAAACATGACATTGTATCAATCTAGGTAACGGGTGCAACTTTTCAGCACGTCATGTTTCCTTAACATAAGGACCCCAAATTTTCATGTAGATATGCCTATTAATCAGTTTATAACACAGTCTTTCATAGGAGGACATTTTAACCATTTCATCCAACCACTCCTTCACTGATATATCCCCTCTGGTTTTCCAATGTCGCAACACTGCCCTACATCCAGTGATTAGGGCTGTTCTGCACCATGAGATCTGGTGGACACTGAGTCCACTTGGTATCACACCTAATAGACAGAGCATTGGTCCCTGTACCAGTACAGATCTAATCACTGTATGAATGATAAGATAATCTTTAAACACAACATGTGTAACAGAGTGCCACAATTAGTATCACACCTCCAGCACTTGTCAGAGTCTCCCAGTCCTAATCATGACATTTTATTTGGGGTCCAATAAATTCTGTTAAATAGTATAATTAGTTAAACGTGTCTGCATTTCTCTTGATCCTTTAAACCATGATCCAATATTTCCCCATATTCCGTCAGTCATTTCTTTCCCTATGTCCCTTCCCCAGCATTTCTAATGGCCCTCAGCGAAGTATCGGTTCTTGTGACATCCTTTTTAAGCATATAGAAACTTTCCCATCAGAAGATAAATGTGAAAACAGGCTTTGCAAAAACTGTACATACATCATTCTGCACAGTCAAACATCTAAGTGAAGTAACATTTTTGAGCTGAAAGGGACTGTTTAATATGACCAATAAAACATGTATTTAAAGTCCCATTTTGCACAAACAAACCAAAAAAACAAAAAAGGGATTTATGAGAGAATAAAGCCAATAAAAGAATCAGGTCGAACAGCAGAATCAATAAATAGAATAGGAATTGATCAAATCCTCTCAACTTGTACTTCAGTATTCATTGTATGCCCCACCTTTTGTCCAGAAGATGGCACTGTGTTACCACATTTGTTGAATCATTATTCCTCCTCTGCCATGATTAAACTGCATGAGTCTGCTATTGTCTTTTATGGAATGTTTTTTTTAATTGCTCACTACAGTCCATTTATTGTGTTTTTGCTTCTTCACTTAGATACTGGTTGGTTCCAGTATAGGCGGCTGGCTCATGCTGCTGGCAGCCATTGCAAGACCAGAGAAGACTGCAGCACTGGTTGGCATCTCCACTGCCGCTGATCACATTGTCACAGTATTCAACTCTCTGCCTCTGGAGGTAGGAACCTGAAGTACTATCACATATATCAGTTTCTTGTCTTATCATCTGAAAGTTGGCACGTTTTGTCATTGAAATGTTTTTCTGAGTTGTTGTTGTCCATGTTTGAATGCGCAGACACGCAAGGAGTTTGAGGAAAAGGGGGAGTGGACACTGCCCACCAAACACTCAGAGGAGGGTTTTTACAAGTTTAGCATGGACTTTCTGCGCGAGGCAGAAAATCACTGTGTGCTCCAGAGTCCCATCCCCATCACCTGCCCTGTACGGCTCATTCATGGGCTCAAAGATGAGGACGTCCCCTGGCACATCTCCATGCAGGTTGCAGAACGCGCCCTCAGCCCCGATGTGGATGTCATTCTTCGGCGACATGGCCAGCACCGTATGTCTGACAAAGACGACATCAAGCTCATGGTCTACACTATTGACGATCTCATAGACAAGCTGACCACTTTGGTCTGAGTAAGGGATGGGAGAGTAAGCTTGAAAGGTTGCTGAGATAAGGAGAGGATTGTTTACTGGAAAGTCAACCCTCAAGCAATTTACCAAACACTGGCATGTTTCTCTGCCAAATATGACCTTGTATCATCTCTGTTATTCTCCCAGTACTTCATCTGTCATTACAACATGCCGTTACGGTGCAAACTAAATTGAAAGGGAGCTCTCCTGCTAGCTGTTCCCTTATATCTTCAGGTTGCATTTGTATGTGTTCCAGGTTATTATATGGAGTGTTATGTTGGCCTTTTTTAGGTCTGCCATTGCTGCTGTCTCTGCAGTTCTTATTGTTTGTCTGTTTTTTTTCTTCCCTCTCTTTACTTAGACGCATAGTTTTCCTGTGCCTTTTTTAATCACTTTTCACCCATTTTGGCCAATAAAACCTCTGCACAGTAGAGTGCAGGTCTCAGTCTGTTACCACAACTAACACAACATGATCATCTGACAAACAGCCGTCTTCTGGATAAAGACAAAGTGCTTGATTGAAATGCATGTGTAATACATAATTAAAGTATTAACAGTTGTAGGAAATTGAGACTTTTACTATTACAGAAACCTGTTCTAAATTCTAAGTTAGGTTAGTGTGGTATACAATGTATGTAATTCAACAATTCTTTCATTCATATGAAAGTTGTACATTTTAAAAGTGTCAGAGTCGGAGCCCAACACAAATCACCACCATTACCAAACCGATAAGAGAATTTCAAAATAAGGGCTTTTGTTTTATAAAAAATCCAGAAGGAGTAACCAGAAAGTTGAACAAATTGAATACAGTGAGTTGTGGTTCTATATAGTGAGTTACAATCATCAAATGTTGTAGGCTACAGCTGTGAGGTTTATTTTTGTAGGCAGAACATTCTGTTACATGACTCCCCATACCTGTTGGCATTTAGCCGTAGATAGGCCTGCTGAATGGAGCCACTGGACTGTTGATTATTAACATGTAATTGGCCACTAGCTGCACTATGCTCAATGGGGCGAAACCAACCACTTAACTCTCTCAGGCCCACTTTACTGCAGCGGTGACCTTTAAGTCATGGTTGAGCTATGTAGTCAGTCATTTTTTGTGTCAAAACTAAAATAAAACATCAATTCATGGAAGCATACAGCATGACGGTTGTAATGCAAGCAGAAGAGTTTGTGCAGAAAGGCATTAGAAATGGTGATGTTTCTATAGTTTTTACATAAAGCACCACAGATCTTTGTTTACCAGGAATAGTTTTGTAAGTAAACCCCACATTTTAGCTGTTGTCTAGTTGTGTAAAATAAGAACGCATACTTGCCATATTGAGCCATAGCACTCTGCAAATAGCATTTCCCTTGAACATTTATCCACCACAAAAAACCCTCCTAATTCAATAAGTGAAGAGAAATGGCTCTCATTACTGCATACAGATGCTGTAACAAACAATAAGCCTTAGTGTAGAAGCCAAACATACAATTATAACTCAGGAGGGAGACAGTGAGTATCCCAACAAGTCTATATAGGCAAACAACCACTGAGTAAATGACTGAATGTACCACTTATAATAAAATAAAAGGGGGTTAAATTGTATACAGTGGGTTGATGTCCAGTAAAATTAGATTTAAAAAAAGAATTTGATTAATCTGGCACCATCATGTGCCTCGGTTCCCTTGGTTTTCTGTGGGTCACTTCATGCTGCCTAAAGCTGAGCATGCACTACAGTGACCACTGTCCGGAAGCGGTGTCACGTCGCATTCTGGACAGAGAGTCTCTAGGGACCCCTCCTGGAGGAGCTGGCATATAAAACGAGTGGCTCGCCCCTCCCGGACACACTATATCCAGCCTGGCCCGACGCGCCTGTGCTGCGCTTCATGGATGCTTCAGCAGTTCAGCATCCTCAGCCCTGCCCAGCTCAGCGGAACTGAAACACAGTGACACGGACAAATCTGACCGCTCTCTCCTCTTTAGTAAGTGCACGTAGTCTTTGTTGAATAAAACTGCTTTGAACGCATGACATAATTGTGTGTTAATACTAATAATGTTGCAACCGATGCGGTGTCGCAGCTGGTGCGTGAGCTTTTGCGCAGTTGCCTTTAGGTTTGTAAAATGTTGATGTTTTTTTAAAAAAAGCTGCAGAGTGCGTAGCAATGCGTTGTCGTGACATTAGATGGCGGGACTTTATTTGAATTTACTGAATTTAATTTATTTGAGAGACCAACAACAAGAGATGCAGTGAAGACAATAAACTGGATAATGGACACAAACCTTTTACATGCGGCACAGGCGGGGATGACGTATAGGATAATAAATTAAATTAAATATAGAACTGCTGTACATTGTATGAATGCATGTTTTTAAAGGGTTTAAACTTTATGAAAAGACATTTGATTATTTAATTTGCGCCATGATGGCTGTCTACTGGAGGTCATACTTGAACCATCATATAGCGCATCACTGCACACAGCGTGCCGGAAACGGGCTGGGCTGTTACCATAGCAATAAGAGGGCTTGTCCCTGTTCGGGACAGCAGCCAGGGACCACACCCTTCCCTGCTACATCCTCCAGAGATCCGCCTGGACGGAGCTGAGCTGTAAAACCTGGCTTTTTGGCTTCAAACATTGAGATTGTTTATGATAGTGATCTAATGCTACTGATTTTTATTGTAACAAACAGAAATCAATAACTAAAAATAATTGTAGTTATCCTGAAGCAATTTAATCAGGATACAAAATAGTCACTAATATAAGACAAGAGGTGTGCCTATATTATAAAAACATGGTTTTTTTACAGTCATTACAGAGTACTTATATTTCAGCCTCATGTGTACCATTTGTTCTCTTCAGGGTGACTATACGCTGCATATACTAGAGTGTTTGCTGCCATGGCGAACAGAGGGCCCAGCTATGGACTGAGCCGGGAGGTGCAGGAGAAGATTGAGCAGAAGTACGACCAAGACCTGGAGCAGCGGTTGGTGGACTGGATAGTTGCACAGTGTGGGGGAAACGTGGAGAGGCCACAGGCGGGCAGAGAGAACTTCCAGAAATGGCTGATGGATGGCACAGTGAGTGGTTGCAGTACCTGTACTTAAAATAGAAGTTACCATTGAATTATTTAATATACCAGCTCTGTCAGATTTAAAGAAGCCATGAAGTAAAAAATTGTACAATAAGCAAGCAGATATATGTGTGTTACTGTTGAAAGGATTGTGTTTTGTCTTACAGCTAAATCATTTTTAGCAAACAGTGAATTTAAAAAATTGCTAATTGCTGCCTTGCAAAGACTGAATTTCTTACTGACTCATTCTGAGGAGCCTTTAATGGAGACCTCCTCCGTCTCCACACTGGAAATGTTTAGCACTATAAGACCTAATTATACAACCTATTATAAAGTGCACCATGCATGGTGCTGCAGTGTCTTCTTGCCTGATACTCCAGCTGACTCTAATGTTAAAAAAAATCACCCATCTAAGACCAGGCAGAGACATCAATTTCTCCCCCAGCAAGTAACAACAGACAATAATGTTATGCAGCCACACTCTTTTACAGCTATATCAAAATGCATTTTTATACCACTTCTGTTGAGGCATGACAACAGTTGTTCTTTGAAATGTTTTAAATCCCTGGCAGAAGCTGAAACTGACAATGAAAGATGAGAGAAAGTTGCTGCACCAAACAATAATTATGGCATTTTAAGCAAGACAAATAGGACCCTCCACTGTCACTTTGATGTGATCAAGCTAGATTTTTGACCTCCTTTTTCCCAGATCCTCTGTAGGCTCATCAACAGCCTTTATCCGAGGGGGAAGGAGCCTATCAAGAAGATTCCTGAGACGCAGATGGCCTTCAAACAAATGGAGAAGATCTCTCAGTTCCTGCAAGCAGCTGAAGCTTATGGAGTTACAACCACTGATATATTTCAAACTGTGGACCTCTGGGAAGGTGATTTTGACCTCTGGTTGCTTACTGATGACTCCTGCTGGGGTGGTATATACTCATTCATGTTAGTTTTTACAATGATGTTACAATGATTTCATTACATTATCCTTTTGCTGTGGTTATAGGAAAGGACATGGCAGCAGTGCAAAGAACTCTTATGGCTCTGGGGAGTGTGGCTGTCACTAAGGACGACGGTCATTATAAAGGAGACCGAGACTGGTTTCACAGGTAACATAGGGGCTTCACATCTTCACAACTGCATTCCCATGATGCTTCATGTTCCTCTACCTCACCCTGTAACTTTTGTACGTGTATAGGAAAGCCCAGGGGTATCGGCGAGAGTTCAGTCAAGAGCAGCTCCGCCAAGGCCGGAGTTTGATCGGCCTACAGATGGGCAGCAACCAGGGGGCTTCCCAAGCTGGTATGACGGGCTACGGTATGCACCGTCAGATCATGTAGACCACCCACTGGCTAACCTGCTCCCCTGCTTCTAAACCTTATTTTCTCCTAACACCACAAAAGTTGTAACCTTCATGTCCTTTGTAGCACCTGCCATGTTAACCTCAAATTCCCTGGAACTGCTGCTTTCCCAAACAGAGTATTCTGTCTAAAAAGATATGATGTCAAATGCTGTAGATCTCCTCCTTCAAGCTCTCCTCCTGTTCCTCTCTTCCCTTCTGTCGTGTGCTGTTCCCTCTCTAGCTTTGTTAACTCTTGTTTCTTACTTTGTCCAAGTCATTAATGTGGAACTCAAAGTCATTCAACATCAATTTATAGAGAATTTGAGATTGAAATCTCTATACAAAGCAAGTCATCAGTATTATTCACATCTTAAATCTGAAATACTGTTACAGCATGTTGTATGCTATTTCCTTGTGTTAATGTATACATTTACCATTGGTTATTGTTTTAGGATGATCTGTTACTGTAATTATTTAGCCTTAAACTACTGAAACTAAACATCTGATGATGTCTCTGCTGTCTTGTCAGAAGACTTGTTGCAGTATTCTCTGTAACCAAATCAACCTCACGTTGTGCCTGGTTATTGGACTACAGAGACTGGGTCCTGATATATTGCCCTAGAATTATAAATGAGTTTCACTCATTCTGAGCCATGCCCTTGTTATTTGTTTGTTAGATTACATCTTTGTCGATGATGTATCCATTTTGTGTTCCAAGCAAGTAAATGTGCAGTAGCCAACATGTATGACAGTAAAGTTTCCATTTCTGGTGCCAGGTAAAGATATTGTTTGAATGTGCACTTTTATGTATTGTCATGTTTATATTTTATAAATATATTTATATCTGGAGGCTTGTGAGAAGACTTATTGAAAAAATAAAGTATGTGAACATGTATTTGTGTCAGTCTGTGTAACACAAGCTGTGTATCTTGATAGCTTTGAAGTTGTGTGCTCTTTTTCCTTATCTTGGATTTGTGTTCCAGCTCCGCCCTTGCGCCCATCCCTCCTGTCTCTCCTCACTGTACACAATCTAATAAAGGGGCAGCAGCTTGGTATAATGATTAGGATGATGGTTCCTCTACCAGATAGTCCTGATTCAAACCTGTATGCCAGAAAACCTTTGCCTTGCTGCGTGACCTTGAGTAAGATATTAAATCCCTAGCTGCTCCAGTAATGCTGTTTAATAGCTGATCTTAGGGGGTAGCAAATACAGAAAAGTCATGCGGCCATTTAATGTTTCTAAAACACACAAATCTTGTATTTAGGGATTGTTATAGTTTTACATTTCCTTTGTATAGGTTCTACCAGCCTTTGGAAATTCAGTGACCAAATGTGGTGAACACTAAAATCAGTCTAGCATAGATAACATCTGAGGGATATTACCATTAAGATGAGCAGAAACTTTGTCTAAGGCATTCTAGAGAGGTGGGGGATTGGGCTTTGGTCCATAAAAGGTCACATTTTATGTCAATGATCCAGTTTATGGGGTCAACTGCTCCTGACTGTTTGCATTTTAAAGAGCACATCTGAGAAAAGCATGCATGAATTAACATTTTAGCTCCTTATAAGCGTGCAGTGACTGTGACAGTTCTGTCCTTTAAATTGCTAAATAAAAACAACAGCTAAGATTATTCTAAGGCATTCATTCCTAATGGCATACTTTTATTGCTTAATTAAAAATAAGATATTCTCCTGTGCAGTCATGTAGAGACAGCATGTAATCATTTGCTTAGGGGGTTAAGGTCAGGGCTGTTTCACTGTATAGAAAGGCTCTGCATGAGAAACTATGTGGCCTTTTGCATGTCTGCCCCTTACACTCTTGAGTCTATGCTTATTATTAGCCTCAACTAGACTGGAGAGGCATCTAAAGGGGCACAGGTGATGTGTAACCGACAGACTCAATAAGTAAGCCAAAAACACAGTCAGACCAATGAAATGGCTTTGAGGACACTCTTGTCCAAAGTTCTTGCCCAACTTGTGTTTTCTTTGGTCGGCGTCTTGGTTGTCTTTTGTTCCACTGTGCTCCTCTTGAGTATGCCTGTTTGAAGACAGTTTTAAGATTTATTGCTGCATGTTTTCATTTAAGTAGTGTGTGTGGTTATAAGGCAAACTATGCACTGGTTTGAACTTCTTTAAGTCTAAAAGGGTTTTCTCATGGGATATTAGTTTTGTCAGACAGGTGCGTCAGGTACAATGTTGCAGATGAGGTTTACCGTCACTTTCTTGCTCCTTCTATTGACGGCCAGGTGTGTTGCACAGGAAGTAACCCCAAACAAAGGCTGTGTTTGTGGATACCCTGGAATACCAGGGGACCCTGGACACAATGGTACACCTGGCAGAGACGGCCGGGATGGACTCAAAGGGGACAAAGGTGATCAGGGTAAGTTTACAAGAGAAAACTTGACTCGATGCATATTTTCCTGTATGTCTTAAGCTTCAACTTATAATAATAATCATTTATGAATCATCTATTAAAAGGTGAAGTTGGCCCTGTTGGACAAACAGGCAATGGTGGCCCAAAGGGAGACAAAGGAGAAGATGGTATGTTTTTTCAGAATAAACACATTGTAAAGTAACCTGTGCTGAAACATTCATCTATTTGTACCTGCTGTACTTGATTTGTACATATTTTAACACAATTTGTTTTACCTTATCTGTCTTTCTGGGAAATGTATAAAAGTATAAAATGATAGGGAAGTTGATTGTGTGCTGGTCATTTACAGGTGCAGTTGGCCCAGCAGGGCTCAAAGGAAAAAGGGGAGATAATGGAGACCGGGGCCCTCCTGGGAAAATGGGGCCCCAAGGAGTCCAAGGGCCTATTGGCCTGAAAGGAAATAAGGGAGAGCTCGGGCTGCCAGGCCCTCAAGGACCTAAAGGCGATTTGGGGCCCCCTGGACCAGAGGGTCCAAAGGGGGAAATTGGCCTCAGAGGTGACAGAGGCATTCAGGGACCACTGGGACCCCCTGGCAGGCCGGGGCCTAAGGGGGAAATCGGTGTTCCAGGTAACAAAGGCAATATTGGCTATCGGGGGGACAGAGGGACTCGAGGAGAGAAAGGTGATAGGGGTGAGAAGGGAGATGCGCTTGTTATCGCTAAAAGCGCCTTCTCTGTGGGACTGACAGCACAATCTAAACTCCCAGCAGCCAATGCACCGATCCGTTTTGACAGGATTATCTACAATCAACAGAATCACTATGATCCACAAACAGGAAGATTCACATGCTCCGCAGCAGGAGCCTATTTCTTCACCTACTACATCACTGTCTTCTCCCGGAACGTGAAGGTGGCTCTCGTGAAGAATGGTGTCAGGATCATCCACACCACAGATACCTACCAGAGCAGCGAGGATCAGGCAGCAGGGGGCGCCGTGCTGCACCTGGATGTTGGGGACAAGGTGTGGCTGCAGGTGGCTGGAGGAGAGCTGTTCAATGGGCTCTTTGCTGATGAAGATGATGACACTACATTCTCTGGGTTCTTAATCTTTGGGGCTTGAATTATACATTATTAGAATTATTACTTTATAATTTCTGGTATTAAAAAAAACGTTTTTAAAGAATGGAAATTAGTCAATTAGATCAGCCTTCCTCTATACTTTAGTTGATTTTATAATGCATTGTGAAGAGGTGTGATGGGATGATTTGAGTTTAAATTTAAGATACTTATTTCTATGCTACTTAATACTTCTACTGCGCTATTTCAGTAGAGCCATCATACTTTTTACTCCACTGTGTGACTTCTGTGGTTTACTGATTAAGATCTTACCTACCAAAAATCTAAAGTAGTTTCGTCTTGACTAATAAGTGATAATAACCCAGTAACATAGGCAAATATTGACAATAATACAACTCAAATGGACATTTTTCTGCATTATGAGGATGTTTCTTTACTTTTCTTACATTGTAAATGCAGGACTTTGAATTGTAATTGAGTATATAACACTATTGTATTGCTCCTTGTACTGGAATCTGAACTGTCTCCTATGTCTGGCATTGTATGCACATTATGTGGTTAAATCAATTAAATTAGTTTTCCTGTAGGATCTTGAACATGTATTCCCACAGAAAAGAGAGCACCAGCATGTAAATAAAGTTATTAAACTAATAAAACATGTAGTCTAATTGTTTGTCACAAGTAAAAGTCACCTCAACCTTGTGGGTTTTCTTTCTACCCAGTTTGTTGTGTTTAAAAATAAAGAGAAACATTCACTTACTCATCCAGTTTCTCTCTCTCTGGTATTCGAGGATGGGCAGCAATACCCGAGACGTTAATTGTCTTGGCATAATACAATGACATGAGGAAGACAGCACAGCACCAACTGGAAGGTCCAGTCTTTTTCTGTCTTCAAAGAACCGCAGGAAGTGAAACAACGCATTGTCTTTTGTGGGGTTTTTTTTTTTTCTTCAATGAAGAGCGTTCCACAGTGGGCGTGGCTCTGCGGTCACCGACTCACATGCTGACCTCTGATTGGCTGTCAGCCGAATGGTCACGCTGCGGTCAACCAGTAACCTCAATCGTAACCTCTCGAAGCCCCGCCCCTCGCAAACACTGCAACAAGTGCATTAATGATGCTCGGCCAGCTCAATCCTCCAAGAAAAGACCTCCTTTAGCTGCAATCAGCGGCGAAATCATCAGCTCTTACTTGAGAGACGTCGGGAGACAGCGGAGGAATCTGTTTTTATTTTTACTACCTCCCGGGTTTTGCCGGTCGATGAAAGCGAGATTGAAAACGGCGGAGCTTGCGCAATTTTAAGAAGAAGTTTATCAGTGAGCTTCGGGGAGCTAGCTTGAGTCGCTAGCGCAAGTGTGTTTAAGAAGTCACCCAGCCATTTGTCTTCAATATGCTGCGGGGTAACTAGTTAGTTTTTTGTTTTGTTTGTTTGTGCCCGACATGTTTATGAGAGAGGACGAGGAGTGCGAGGCAGCGGGAGCCCAGAGAAAGCCGGGACTACTTCACCATGGCTGAACAACACAAACAGCTGCTCTGTTGATGTGAGGAAGAAAAAGAGTCAGGACTATGAGCAGGGTGAGCAAAAAGTTTATATTCGAGTCACTGCTAACTAGTTTAATTCCCACATAAACCCGTGTGATATAATAATAATAATTCCTTTTTAAATGATCCATAATAAGCACAGTACAGTTGCTTTGATTCTTGTGTTCTTGGTTGAAATGGGACCAGAGGGGGTTATTGTAGTGCATTACAGCCGGGGTTGTTATAGTGATGTGGGAGATGCCAGGCCGTGCAGGGAGTTGGTGAGGGAGGGGTAAGAGGGGAGGGGAGGGGGTTGCACCAGCTACAAAGAGCTTTATGGCCAAAGAAAGTTAATTAATGCAGAAATAAATAAGCAGTTTGGCCCCGAGTTCTTTATGAGCTTAGAAAAAGTACTCTGTGTAATCCCCTTTCATAGCTCCTTGTATTCAGATTCCACTTCATTCTTAGCATGTACTAACTTAGATACACTTCTTGCAGGTGTCTTGCAGTCATCTCTGCAGTTCAGTCACAATTAATTAACCTGTTCTTGGCTCCCAGATGGACTTTTATACTAGAGCTCAACTTTGGTTGTCTAGATCAAAGATTGAGGGGTAATCTGTGCTTTATAGAGGGTGTATAAAATCATCTTTTTTTTTTTACAACAGGACTAAACAACTACAATATACTTTTACACTAGGCTACTCTCTAGTTCATACCGAGTTGTAATTCTGTCTAATGAGGGCTGTGTGTCTGTAACTTTATGAACTTAAGTCCATAAAACAAACTTTAACCAGCCCCTTTTCAGTGCTGTGACTTGGTCAAAAAGGTCATTTGTCTCAGGGAATTACTATGAACCACTTCAGAGCTCACGTTCAATTGTCTCAGATCCCTCTAATAATATTAGAGGGTTTTAACTGTTGAGAGGTTTTCTGTTCTTGTGGTTTTTGAATGTTGATGGAGCAGCCTCATGGTTATTGTTGCACCGCTGTCAGGATACACTGTTGAATGCTGACAACGAGGCTCAGTGGTGTTTTGTCCTCTCTAAGCCTTGTGCACTGTGTGGTATTAGATTTCTGTCTGACTGTCTCTATGACAGTCCACAGCAGATCAGGTGAGTAAGTGGCTGCCTGTGTCAGGATGGTGACACTCCCTGGGTTGGCCCGTACCTGTACTTCCCACGCTATAGAAAGGGGCGTGGTGTCTCCCAATCTCCTTCTCCATGCCAGATGAAAAAATGAGGAACTAGGTCATGGCCAAATATGAGACTTTAACCAGGAAATCGAACCAGCAGCATGTGTGCTCACCTGATCCTGATGGGACATGTTGTCTGTTTCAAAATACTGAGATCACAAAAGAGGTGACATATTTCTTATGAATAGTGTTCGTGGAATTTTAGCCTGTACCTCCTTAAAGGGCCGTTGTGTAACAATTAGGAGGATCTGTTGGCAGAAATTAAATATAATATTCACAGATGTGGTTTCATTAGTGTACAAAGAAAATAAGATTCATACGTGTTACTTCAGAATGAGAGGGAGTACGTCTTCTTCTGAGGAATCAACCTTGTTGAACTGTCATGTTTCTACAGAAGCCAAACCAAACACTGGCTCTAGATAGGGTTTTTTTTTTTTTTTTTCTTGCATTTTTCTTAAGTTTCACCCCCCCGCAGTGAAGCCCTAGTGGGCTGTTTACAAGCTTTGGGTGTCACTCTCAAGTCAGTGCCGAATAGCCTGATTAGGCTATCATGTGTAGATGAAACCAGTCCTATACACAGACTGGTAAAGCTCCACTAATCAGATTATAACTAGGATGGATAAGGAATAAGATATACACACTCAAGCACACACACTCCCACTCCCACACACTTGTCCCTCCCAAAGTAGTAGATTTCCGTCAGTTTTCTTGCTGACACTCATTTATTTCTTGGAAACAGGCTGTAAGTTCAGCTAACAAGCATCAAGGCTTAAGATTTGAATATGAATTCCAGATATTTAATACTAAATGTTGTCAAGTGTTTCTTAATCTTGCCAGATACTTAGAAATCCATAAACATGAACTCATTTACCTGAAAGACAACATACAGTGAACCTTTTCTCTCGTACTGGACATATGTTCAGCTTAAGTTTCACAGAACCCTTGTTACGCACACTGATTTAGCTCTTCAGCCAATCTGTTCCTTAAACCATTACATCTGAGAAGTGCGTCTTCCTCACAGCTTTCATTCATCGAGACAGAAAGACAACCAGTAAAGTGACAGCTTACAAAGGAATGGCGGTGTTGCTCCAGGGTGGTTGTGTCTGTCTCAGAGTTAAGCCAGAGAATGGAAAATGACAGAAAAGCTTACTTTCCCTTGATACTCCCTGTCTGCTGCTCTTTTAATTTAATGCTCAGTTCATTTTGGCCTAATGAGATTTATCCTAGCCTCAGGCAGGACATACCTCTGCAGAGGTAAACTATGGGTAGGAGGTCACTTATCACTATGCATTTATGACTCCTTACATAACCGCCTGGGTTTTCTAGCCAAACAGGAAGGGAGTCAATGATTTAAAAGCCTTCCTCCCTGCTCAGCACTGTGCACGCGTGCGTGTACGCACACACACATGCACATGGGCTCGGTGCACCATGAGAAAGGATGCTCTAACTAATTGTGCGTGTGTTTTTGGAGTGCATGCTTTAAGACCTTGTATACATGTTTATGAATCTGGGTGCGTGTTCATCTTCGTCTCCGGGAGTCTAATCTGCGGCTGGCTCCAGCTGGCTGCCGTGTGTGTGGGGGGGGGAACTCCTCCCTGAGCTCTTAATTAACTCTGGACCAGGGCCCCAGAGTGCCGCTCCCATCCACAGTTAGGCAGGAGGAAGCCGGAGAGCAACAGTGATCGTGGTGCAGGCAGAGCAAAGATGATATAGGAAAGTTCACCATAGTAAAAGTGATCTGCATTCACAGACAGTAGGGCGTGATAATAACAGATACGTAAGTAATATTTGTCTGAATACTGCAATATGCATAGCTGTAGACATGGATGTAGTAGATGTTTTTTTGCTTTTATATATTTTATTTACATAGCTTATAAACGTTTTAACTTGACTTTTGAGTTAAATTAACAAAATGCATCGTTATGCCTTTCCGTATAACTTATTCCTCTACTATGTATGTATTTTCGACAGTATAAAGATGCAGTGCTTTAAGTAAGAGCAGTACGGTATATTTGATCTCTCAGGTAAAAGCAGCTTTTCATAATTTACCAACTGCAGTCGTCAGTGTTAAACTTGTTTTCTAAATTTGGTCATTATGGATTAACATTTCAATAGTGAAACAAGTGTGTCTACTATACACATCAAAGTTAACATTGTCATGATGCATTCAGTGTAAAAATACTCTTAAAGCTCATAAAGCCATCACCAGTTTTAAAGGACATGGTGAAAAGTCACAGACACTAACATGCTGTAGAGTTATTTAAATCAGAGTGCATATAAAGTGTTTATGTTTTCGGTCTGTGTTGTGTTGTGTTGTGTTGTGTGTCTTTTTGTGAAATCACCGCCTGCACCAGCTTGGTTCTGACTAACGACACTGCCAAGTATTAGTAGACACCAACTGGCCTGTGACAGTTGGCGCCAGGTTTAGGGAGAATGCAGAAAGGTGTTGAGGGATAGCGCAGTTGGTAGAGTGGCTGATAGCAAGAGGTGAGTACTGAAAACAAAAACAAGCCCCCGGAGCTGTAGAAATTCCTCTCCTATCTCCTATCTTTCTGCTTGAAAAATAGATGGAATAATTGATCCCGTCTATTTTTCCAGTTGCTACTCAACGTGATTCTTCAGTGGCCGGAGGAGGAGGAGGAAAGTACAAGAAGACAATTCAGCATAGCTTTGAAAGCAGCACATTGTTCACGAGGGGTGTTTACTGTCTGTCAGCAGCGGTGCTTGGCAGCGGTGGCTCTGTGTTTACATAAGTGTTCGGTGTGATGGAGCGAGCTGGTTGAAGTGACAGCAGATTCCACAGTGAGTTTGACTGAGAAAGCCCATCTGCTGCTAGTCATGTGGACGGGAGGTATGGGAGCGTTCCAGGATCCCTGCAACTCCCCGCATGTGTACATAGCAGTCAGAGGAAGCAACACTGCCATCGAAGCTTAAAAAATGCCTTCAGGATAGATTGATGCTGACAAAATCCCAAGATCTTTAATTTAATCCCTGAATAATAATAATAACAATATACTGGGGGTGACTATTTGTGTTGTTAAGAGACATTTTTGTGTAAAACAATCAGCAGTAATGTGGCTACACTTTATTTTAACACCCCCTTTTTAGCATTTATAAGCAGTATATAAACAATTAATTAATGGTTTATAACCCACTGCAATGTGAATGAAATTCCTTCCTGGGAAGCATCCATAACTGTACAATAATTTAACATATTTACTGTAAACACACTCACATTATATCTGTGTTTAACGACATTATAGTGTGCTGTAAACAATTTATCATATGTTTATATTCTGCTTATAAATGATAAATAGGGGTATTAAAGTAAGTGTTAGTGTCACTACAGTGATAATCCATAAAATTGTTCCATATAACTGTAATTATGTCGATGTCCTAATAACTAAAATCAGAGATTATGTCTGTTCTCACATCATAATATTATTACAGCCACATATATCATCACAGTCTGTATGACAGACAGGTTGGTCGTATTTAGTGAACTATTCTGGAAAATGGCAGACTTGCTAAACTATTAGTCCTCTCACAGGTGAACTTGCGGGCAAATGTTGTTTTAGAAACATGAATTCTTTGTAGGTCTGGAAAAGTGTGGAAAAGTAGTCTCTATATTTATAGTAAAAATCTTTCTATCTATCAAAAAATTTTAGACTATTTGTTAGTCAGTTGCCAGCTACAGAGGGACTATGATGTGTCATTATGTAACATTTTAGTCAAAACTGTTGAATCCAGTCATAAAAGAGATGTGGGGAAAGTGTGACATTTTGAAACAGACTCGAGGCCTTTTTCATGGAGACATCACAGGACATGTCACAGTAGGAAAAGCACATGTGTAAATAACAAAATTAACGATGGCTGAATTCCATTTAGCGGCAGCAGTTCCCGAGTCCTGGTATTGTTGATGCTGGCTCACTGGGACACTTGACTAAAACAGAGCAGAATTGTTGTTTGTAACACCTGTTCTTTACCTACTGTGTGCCTTGTGAAAAGGGCCTTTTGGCACAGTGAGGACTCTCTGTGTGTGTGTCTGTGTGTGTGTGTCACCGATTTGAAGACCACACAACCCTCCTCCTCACCATCACCTCATCTACGTAATCTGGAGAAAACTGGGCAATTTATTACATTAATCACAATGGATTAGCAAGTTTCATTGCTTAGTCACGCTCACAAAGCCCCACTTCAAAGGCTCACTGCTATGAATCACACACACACACACACACACACACATACTCGCATAAAGCTGAACTTAGCACAACACCACCCTAACCTGGGCCTCAGCTCTCCTTGGACGTTGAAATACAGCACCAAGGACAAATGCATGTAGTGTTCTCCGTGCAAGATGGCCTACTCCTCTGGACCCTGCACACTGAGGGATATTCGTCTTTCTGTTTATTTATGTCTCTTCCTTTACTTCTTTATTCTTCCGCTCTTACATGCAAACACAGATGACACAATACTGTAAATACACAGTAGTTCATTTGATGCTTTCAACCCTTTAAGCGTCATTCATACTAATGAGTTCTTTTTTGTTTTATTCAGTTTATTTATTTTCTCTTTCTAGTTATCTGAAGTTGTCTGACCTGATTTGATCTAATCAGCAACTTTAATCTCTCCATAGCAACCTTTTGAATATGACCATTAATTCCTCTAAAAAGCAACATGCAAAAATCACTAAAATGAATGTCTGTTTGGTTTTGCAGGCAGACCAGAAGGACAGGGTCTTGTCCACAAGCGAAGACCCTCTCCCGTGCCTCCACAACTCTAAAGCTGACCCACTGATCCGAAGCCGACCCCTCAGTGATATTTACCCATTCCACAGTCATGCTGACAGAAGTGCAGTGCCATATCTGCTGTCTGGGTGTGGTGCCCAAGTACAGCCGATGACTGCAGGTCTTGAGGAAAACAGATTGAATGGCATCAACTCTTCTGCCTGGACCAACCCTGTTATAGGTCAGCCTGACGGAAAGACTTACTCCTCGAGAATTATGAAGCTTTTTTCTAACTCGAGGAAGGGCCCTGTCCCTGCTCACAGTCCGAACACTGACAGTTCCACCTCAACCCACAGCAGCGGCAGCGACAGCAACAGCGGCCCCCAGTCCTGGTCAGGAATTGGTGTTGTGGACTCTTTCAAAAAGCTCCGCTCCTCTGTGCTGCAGGGTATACAGAGTAGAGGGGCAATCAACAATGATGGAGAGCACGTCCCCTCATCAAATCAGGAAATTGCTAATGGCACAGTTGTGTCCAACACAAACCCTGGTCCAGATGATGCAACAAATGATTTAAAGGTCACAGAAGGATACAGTGTGTCTAATGGAATTTTTACTGATCAAAAGTTAGCTGTAATGAGCCAGTGTGGATCAGATATTGAGGACTACGATGATGAGGACAATGACGGTGCAGATGGTCTCACGCGCAACACACGATTCTCAAGGAGTATCAGGAGAGCGTACGGAGCAGGGCGCATCTCTTTACTCGACACAGGGAACGGGAGACTAGCGGGAACCAGCACAAATGAAGCTGCAGGCACTCAGAAACCAGATCAGAAAACTATGGCAAACACCCAAACAGAGAAAATGAATGAGAACACAAATGTGAAGGTGCTGAGCAGACTGAGCAAAAGCGCAGAAAATCTTCATATATTTAAGGCACCGTTCAGACGCAAAGCCCCATCTCCTGGTCGTCCTTCGCTTCAGGAAGAGCCCCAGAGCACTAGCGTATCAAACGGGACACCAAACATCCAGAGGACAGCCAGCGCCTCCTCAGTGGACCTCCGGGGCCACGCTGTTAGCCGCAGGAAGAGCCCCGTGAAGACCAAAGGGCCGATGCTCAAGCTAGTAGGCAGCGTGACTGACCTGACTGTCCGACGCAGGCAAAGTCCCTCTCCCAGCCCCACCTCTCCATCTCTCATGTCACCCCTGACTCGTCTCCATGACGACTACTCCCGCCGCGTGCCTTGCCTAACGACCGGTGAGCGACAGCGCCGGCCCTCGCCCGTCAGAGCCCGGGTCCTGTCTGTCGGACACACCCCTCTGGTTCATCCACAGCCTGAATGTGATGTCGGCCCACAGCAGCACCAGGTCCTTATCGGCCCGGTTTGTGTGGAGCCCCCGGAGAGAGCAGAGCAGACTTCACCTGCTGTCTCTGCTCATTATGAATCGCTGACTGTAGCCACAACAGGTGCGACAGAATGCGATACACCTCCACTCAGCCAAAAAGAGCCTTCACAACAACAAGAACAGACTGAGGTCAACATGCTACCAAATGAGGTAACTTGGAAAATCATGTGCATAAAGCTCACAGGGGTCTGATGGGAAGGGATTAAATTGTCTTGTTTCTGAAAGCAGGAAGATTCAGATATTTGACACAATGCAAGGCGTAAAACAGTAATGATGACATCAAGCTAAGTTGTTATCTTCAACTGGTTTGTTCGCATAAAAAGCTTTTCACTGCTTATTATCGACTTAGTAACATGGGATTGGAAATCATTAGATTACAGGCTTTCTAAATAGTTTCAAAGAGGAAGGAAGTACTGGAAGACAGTGGAAATAATCTAGAACAGCATTATCATTAAAAGCTGCCAATCTTCCAGTTGAATGCCATTGACCCTTGTCTTAGGAAATGCAGCATCACACCTCCGAGAAGTGATCTTTGAATCTTGCATGATTCGAACCTACTGTGATAAGTTCTCCTGTCAGCGTATTACTCGTCAGTACGGAGTTCATACAGTATGCTAAAATAAAATGCTGTGTGTGTGTCCAAAGTCCCTTTCAGTGCCGAATAAATAATGGCATAGGCGTAACCGTTCATCAATGTCCTTTTCCTGTCAGTTGTGTTTGATATACTGACTTCGGCTCGAGCAAGGTCACATGCCGAAGCCAGCTGTTCTGTGCTACCAGGCACACTGAAGGAGCAGACAGAGTTAATGATTAGGCTTTGTTTATGATTAGTGGCCCTTGCGCAAAAACAGCTCCATAGTCCTGTTGGTGTGGGAGGGGAAGGCAGCTGATTGAGTACGTCCCCCACCTCACGTCTCCCCCTTCCCTGTCGCTGTAGCCCAGTGGATCAAAGTCCAGCACCATGGAGACTGGGCCTGGGACAGCTAGCAGCACCATCAGGTAGACAGGCCCATAAACACAGTTATAGTGCAATTTGTTTTTGTCTAAGAGTAGGATTTTGCTTTTGAAGATGAACCGGAAGAATCAGATTTGTTTACTTTAAAAATCAAGTGGCTTTTACTGGCCTTAAAAAAAAGAGAGAGAGAGACTCGGCCTTGGGGGCACATGCCAGTCTGTGTTTGTGTGTGTTTCACAATGGTGTTAGTTCACTGTGTGCCTTTCCAGTGTATATGCCGGGGACAGGACCCAGACCGAGAAAACCAAGAGGTGAGATTTGATATGGCTGACTAAGAGACTTAGAACAACAATTTCCAAATGAATAACCGTCAATATTTGACCGTTGAGTATACAATAGCTGCTGACATGCAATATGATAACATTTAATTGTGGAATATTTGTGCAGTTTCTGTTGCAGTTCTTGTTTGAACTTGATAAGCATAAGGGTTTATTGTTTTCAAAATGTGGAGCCTATCAGTGTGAACTTGAATATTTTCACATCATAATCAATTTTTCTCACGAGAATCCTGATAAAGTTCATTGAAATAGTTTCACACTGATTCTTGTGGTTCTGCCTTGACATCCAACCAAGACAGTTGCTTCTAGTTGGAGCTTTTTATGACTTGCAGTACCATTTTGCTCTGTTTCTGATTAACAGATGTTATCCCCAGCAGACATTATGTTCTTCATTTTTGTACATTGCAGGTCATTACACAGGGGAAAGTCAATATCATCATTCTTATTGAGTTTTCAACTTTTTCCTTTGATCCCTAGGTGACGCCAGACCAACAAGGGTCAGAAACACTTCTCCATACGGAAGACGTCTCTCCAACCGCCAGCAGCACCCCTCCTATCTCTCCGACATGCCTCTCGGAGTCACCCACGTCGCCCACAGACGCAGCCGCGGCTTCCACGGAAACGACCTCCATCAAGTCCAGACGAAGGAGTGGCCGCCCGAGACCGCGGCCCATCTCTGACTACGGGCAACTCATTTCCAGGAAGCACTCTATTCCCGAGGAAGTGGCAGAACTGCTTGCTGAAGAAAGGACAGCAAATACATCATTGCATAAAGACTGCAGTGGTGATGACGCATGTGGGAATGAAGGGAGCCCCGAGAGCGTGAACGGAGACACTCAGGGCAAGAAGCTGCGGCCAATCTCAGTGATAGGCGTTGTGGATCTGTTCTCTCCTGATGCTGAAGAGAAGGATGACCGCCTTCCTTCTGTAAGCCTACACAGTTAAAGTTTAGACCTACTAGAAGAGTTTATGAAAAAATTGAAGAGGCTGGTTGAATTCCCACCCCCTTCCATATAAACTGGAAATGTCTTTCAGTCAAGTGTTGAATTAAGGTTGTTTTTTAGGCTGATATAGTTGCCAATGAAGGAGGAAAATGGGGAAAGATGCAAACTAGTCCTTTAAAAACATTTTCCTACTTTTTAAAGCTTAAACTATATACTGATAAATTCTTACCTTATAAAATGAAAACTACTGTACTTTTTGTTGCATCTCTCTGCCTCCTTTCTTGTTCTCTCTTACTACTGCACTACAGGCTTAAAATACCAAAAAAGGTCCAAAGTCCAAAAAATAATTGTGTCTTATCTATGAGTGTAATCTGTCAAGAGGTTTGCAGGCTTTATTTCTCAGGTAGGTGGTAAAGGCCAGAGAAAGTGAGCTCTTTCTAAATCCCAGGATCTGTTTTCTTGTCTCTCTCTCTGCAGCCCCTGTCGCGACCGCCCATCCCCTCCCACCAGGTGCCCCCCTACAGAGGAGTGTCAGCCAGGTTTCGCCCCTCTGCCCTCTCCCAGAGCACCCCCATCGGACTAGACCGCGTTGGACGGCGTAAGCTCCACAGAGTGCTCAGCGGTGAGAACTTTGGTTGTTGCGGAGCTCATATTTTAAGTCTGTGGGAAAGTTGAGTCTGGGAATGTCAATAAGTGTGTTGGAGGAAAACGTTGGTGTGGAGCCAGGTGTGGGTGTGCCTGCATCTGTGGCTTGTTTACTGGATTGTTTAAATCTTGACAGAAGGTTTTCAGCCCGATGTATATGTTGCAGATGGTATGTCTGAGTGCTCGGCGACACTTGATGACAGCGTCAGCGAGGAGGAGGAGGGCAGCTTTGATGAGCTCGCTGATGTCACGCCCTACCTCCAGCCAGGGGTGGAGCTCTCTGAGCTCAACGAGGTGAGGCTGAGGAGGGAAAGTTGTGTCACGTTGCAACACTCACCAATATCTTCTCCAAGAATGTGTATCGGATTTATGATGTAACATTTATCTTGTCATAAGCATGACTCGTGAACAGCCATGTGAAAATGTTTTCTGTGTGTGTGTTTTCAAGATGTTTGGCCGCAGTTTAACAGAACAGACAACCACTGCAGTGTCCACAAGTCTAGATATAATCTTACATGTTAGACACAGGCTTAAGCTGCATGTAATTGTGTCTTTATCTTATCTGTGTGTGTGTGCTACTCAGTGGATAAACTGTGGCCACACGGTATATGCTGAGGCTCTCTGGGACCATGTGACCATGGAGGAGCGGGAGCTGGCTTTCAAAGCTGGGGATGTTATCCGTGTCCTGGATGCCTCAAATAACGACTGGTGGTGGGGCAGGGGGCCTGACAGGGAGGCCTGGTTCCCCTCCAGCTTTGTAAGGGTAAGTGGACTTCCTGACCTACGTGTCTGAGGCATGTTTGCTCTCCAGCAGCACAGAAAAGACTTGTAAACTGGCTTAGCTCCAAACAGACCTCAGTAGCCCTCTTAACAGTGTGTGTGGAAGGGTTCAAACCGCAGAGGTTCAACTGGTTTCTGTGGTGACCAGAGCTGATTGACAGTTGAGTCTTAATTAGGCACACTGTGGTTACCATGGTGAGGTTATTTGATTGGCAGATGGGCGTCTGCTGTGTAATTGCTTGTAGCTGAATCAATGTTGCTGAACAGGAGCTGGTTAAACCTGTGCATGTTGTTGCCATAGTGATGTAGAGTAGAGTTTTCATAGTTTAAATAGTTATCGTTTTCCTTTTTGTAATTGTTTGTTTCGTGTATGAGCTTGAAATTTTATTTAATGTCATTAAATCACAAAAATGTGTCCAGGTTCATCTGTCAAATATATGTATTGTTTACTTATATAAGATAAATATTTGGGATAAATATGTTTTGGAAATCCTGCCTTGTAGTTAGCTTTCAGCAAAGAGACTTTATGATTTAAAGGCTGCTCAGGAGGTCCCATTGTGTGTGTGATGGATGTGTTTCAGGTGCGAGTGAACCAGGAGGACTCGAGTGCAGAAAGTGTGGAGAGCGTGGCGGACCAGGAAGATCCAACTCCCAGGGACACACACAGCTCTCAGCACAAGGAGCAGATGAGAACCAATGTTGTTCAGGAGATCATGAATACTGAACGCATCTACATCAAGCACCTAAAAGACATCTGTGAGGTACAGGCCTCCAAATATAAGCCTTCTGTCATATTCATCCTTTTATTTAATCTGTTAAGCAGTCCTATGTTCTAAAGACTGTCAACTTTTTATAATAAAGTATTTAGAATAAGCTATATTTGTGTTTCAGATATGATCTAACCATCTAGCACCTCCTGTTGGTCAGTATTTGAACTATTTTCATACCTTCTGTCAGTGTAGTCAGCGTGTTGTTTTTGTTTGTTTTGTTAACTTTAACCAGGGTTACATCCGTCAGTGCCGTAAACACCCAGACATGTTTACTGAGCTGCAGTTGAAGACCATCTTCAGCAACATAGAGGACCTCTACAAGTTTCAGAGGCAGTTTCTCAGAGACCTGGAGAAGAAGTACAACAAAGACCAACCACATCTCAGTGAAATAGGCTCCTGTTTTCTCTTGCAGGTAGTTGCTACTCTCAAAAAACATTTCCCCAAGTCACTTTGTAACTCATTATTTACTTCAGTAGTCCTAAAAATGTTTTTTTGTTTTTATTCCTAAGGGAGAGGGCTTCTCTATCTACTCGGACTACTGTAATACTCATCCAGCCGCCTGCGCTGAGTTGCAGCGTCTCATGAAGTTGGGCAAATATAAGCATTTCTTTGAGGCCTGCCGGCTCCTCCAGCAGATGATCAACATTTCCATTGCGGGTTTCTTGCTCACACCTGTCCAGAAGATCTGTAAATATCCCCTACAGCTGGGAGAACTGCTCAAGTACACCCCAAAAGACCACAGGTACTCTTCTGGAAATGTATAACTTCACTACTGCAACCCCACTTAAATATATGTAAAATAGTATACAATATATGGCTCTTAAGCTGTCACTTACAGTGTCACAACGGGAGCCAACAATGCTTGTTGCTATAGATACATTAAAGTACAACAACCACATTTTTTGCCAGTTAATCACATAATGAAGACAGTTTGACTTGATAAGGCTGTTGTCTCTGAAGCATTACTTTACGTTTGGCTTTACAATGAAAGCTATTAGTGAGTAGCTACAAAGACACTCTAACATTAACCAATTCAATAACCAACAATTGGTTTATTCATTAATAGGTTCATCTGCAGTTACAGCAATCTTTATAATGTTCAGAAACATTTTACCTGAAGTAAAGAATTCCTGGTGGTTCCAGAGGATTGATAACTTACTTACTTTTCCCTGATTGAGATTGAAGTGTTACTGTAAATGGAAATGTCCTTTCTATCAATTTAATGTCTAAGGTGGACCCTGTGCTCATTGTTCCTTTGCTGATTTATTGCAGTGACTACAGCGGAGTGAGCAAAGCGTATGAGGCTATGAAGAATGTGGCCAGTCTGATTAATGAAAGGAAGAGACGGCTGGAGAGTGTCGACACCATCGCTCACTGGCAGGTGGCCATTCTACACTGGGAGGTGATGATGACTAATCAATATTCTTCCATTTTTTACTCTTGTTATTAATTCAAAGTAGACTTTGTGTTTTGCCAACCTCGGGTAGAGATGATTAAATATATTGTATAAATCTTCTGACTCTATATCTATGTAATCATGCTGCAGGGATCTGATGTGCTGGAGCGCAGTTCAGAGCTGATCCACTCTGGCGAGCTGACTCGAATTGTCCGACAAGGCAAAATGCAACAGCGCAGCTTCTTCCTGTTTGACCACCAGTTGGTCTTCTGTAAAAAAGACGTCCTGCGCAGAGACCTGCTCCACTACCGTGGACGGCTGGATATGGACCAGACCGAGGTGTTGGATGTGCCCGACGGGCGGGACCTAGACCTGGGCCTGACCCTGAGGAATGCTCTGCGCCTGCGCAACGCCTCCACTCTGGAGTTTGTGTGCGTGCTGTGCTGCAGGAAGGCCCAGGACAAGAAGAGGTGGCTAGAGGCCTTTGCCAAGGAGAGATACAGAGTCAAGGAAGACCAAGAGATGGGTGAGTTGTGCTGAATTCCTTTCATTCATCACACACAACAGTGGCTGTGGGTAGATGTAAAAAAGAAAAAAAAAAAGGTGTAAACAGGGTGAAAAGATTGTTTGAAGAACAGAGTGGTCGGAAATATTTAGAGCTGAAGGTGTATTTGTGTCTGTTTCTTGGCAGGAATGGAGATCAGTGAAGAGCAAAGAAAACAGGCCATTATTAATGCCAGAAGAGCCAAACAGGGGAAGAACAAAAGTAAGAAAATACTTCATACTGTTTAGTCACTGATGTCATTTTTATAAAACGTTTCATTTGTAATTTTGTGTTTTTGTTCATTTTTTCCATGTTCACCTTTTAGCCATTGGTTACTCTGGTTCTGTCCCACCGCACCACCAAAACCTTCATCCACTTCACCAGCGTCACATCACCATCCCAACCAGCGTGCCTCAGCAGCAGGTCTTTTCACTGGCCGAACCCCCAAAGCGAAAGCCTTATCAACTGTTGTACAGCATCACTCGCAACGCCTTTTTCAGGAAATGAGGCTTTGCTCCCTCATCTTTTTTTTGTTCCTCTCTGTACATGTTCAGAGCACGCCCAAACCGTCCTAAAGACTCAAAGAACACTTTATTTTATTTTTTCCTCTGAATGTACTGTCAAATTCTGTTTTTGTGCCTCATGTGTCTCAATGTGTCTGTTTTTGTTGCATGTTGAAGTTCAGTGCCTACGATCTTGGAAAGGGGGGCACGATTTAAGTGTTAAAATAGTGACTCTGTCCATTTTGTTGGTGTTAAAGATGCTGCTTACTCAAGAGACTCCCCACCCCTTTATCTTATTAATTCCAGCGGAAAGATTTTTTTTTTTAATGTTGATTATGACAACAATGTATATTCTGCTTTTACGTTGACATACATGGTTTTAGTTATTTCACAAAGGCTGGACCCTTTTTTGCTGCGAGTCTGTCAACTCTGAGCACAAAACAGCCAGAGGATAAATAAACTGACACATTCACCTTCCCTGTTAACACTGTAAATAAAACTCTTGTACAAACATACCCAATGAGAACGTTGTCACTAATCTTGTTTGCATATGCAGCTTAACCAGTTCATTTCTGTCCATTGCAGAGTAAATATAGTCGACTGTTGAATATTAGGTCATGTGATTCAGTAGAGGTTGATGAATGAAACATAAGCCATAGGACTCGGAGGAGGTATGTTTCCATCAGCGAGCTCCCTGTTTCTCCACCGCTTGCCTGTGCAGAAGGATCTGGTTTCACACACCTGTTGACTGTGCATCCAGTGTGTTGTGTGGCTCTACACGGTTTGTGTGTCTGCTGCTGTGTTTAATAAGGATTTTTGTTATGAAGGTAAAAGAGGATGGATCTTAATAACCGGAAATCAGGAATTAGATGATAGAGGCTTGAAGAGATGCCTGTGTCATGGGCGCAGAGCACGAGGAGAACGAGCAGAATTGCGGGGATGATAATGCATCTCAACAGGACGCTGCCAGTGTGAGTAAAGATATATATCCCTGACAGTGTTATTTTTTAAGAAGCTCTGTGACTAAAACTACAGTATTTTAAATTATTCTGTCACATTTTTAATCCAGCGCTTTCTCCAGATTAAACCTTGGAGGATTTGAGTGGACAGTCTAGTCTAGTTTACACATCAAAGCCTTTTGAAGTCACATCTTTTGTAATGTTGCTTGATTTAAAAATATGTGTCAAATAGATTAAACTGTGTTTTCCTGTGGGAATCTATACCCGGCTAACTTGTGATGGATGAAGTGCCTCTTGCACAGTATGAGATGACACTGAATGAATAATATATGTGCATTGGGTAACTTAATGAGCACCGAGGGCTGCATCTGATGGAGTTACTGCTGCTGCCAGGCATTCCCCTCCACAGGCTAAAGCGACCAGTAATGGAGCCTCAGTAGCTGTAGACACAAGATCACATCATTTGTGGCAGCTCAACAGCTCAATGTGAATGATTTATTTGATTTTCTGAACGCTGATGTTATTTCATTGTCTACTCTGACATAAAGATTTTGTACTAGTTAAAACACTGCTCACCCATGTCTCAGGGTTGATATTGTTCAGGCCACTGTAATGTAAACCAGCTGACCAGGATAAGGTACAGTGATCAGAGATGAATGGCAGCAATGTGATTATGTTTCTCTGGCAATTTAACCTGCTTATGGTCCTTGTGCCCTTTTGTTCCAATCCTGAGGGCTCTGATACACTTGGCGAGAGATCTACAATATCAGGAGACACTAGTTTCTGCTTTTCATATCACTTCAGCATCATTACCCACATCTCTATTAGAATGCACACAGCTGTCACTGAAGTGACAGCTTGAAAGGGCAAGTAAGAATTACTGCTACCATTATGGCACTTTGCATCACTGTATGAATGTGTCCCCTCCCTCTGGCTGTAGATTGCAGATGTGTCTGTGGAGGTGGCCACCGTTGACCATACTCTGCAGAAACTCTGCCGGAAGTACAGAAAGACTAGACGGAAGCCCAAAGGTCTGAATAGGCTGTGGGCCTATCTGTTGAACGTCCCACACCTTGCTGTCATCGTCACAGCAGTGGTGTTTGTGGTGGTGGTTATTGTGTGGTCACTGCTGTGGGTCTATATATGTAAGTGAAATGATTCTTCTACTTAAATCCCACAAAATGAATACATCAGTATATTTAACGGCGCCATTTATTTTTGATTTCCTTAGTCCGCAGGGAAAGCAACAACGGAGTGTATTTTGCTGGGATGTTCCGCGTTGCCAACGTGGAGTTTATCCCCGAGTACCGCCAGGCAGAATCTCAAGAGTTTGTATCCATGGCAAGCAAGATACAACATGTGGTATGTATCAATGTAACCCTGTTATTTACGTGATTAGTGGTTTAGTGCTGAACATTAAAACTGAGAAAGTCTTAGTGTTAATTGCTGGTGTCTGCCGGTGTAGGTGAGCAATGTGTACAAGATGTCCTCAGTGGCCAGACTCTACAAGCAAGCTGTCATCTCAGACCTCAGGTAGAGTAGCATATTAGTCATTGTCACCGTAAAAAGCTGATATTTTTTATTTAGTTTGTGTTTTTGAGCAGCACAATCTGTTTTCCTCACCCAGTAACAACAAGGGCGGCGTGCTGGTTCATTTCTGGATGGTGTTCGTGGTGCCTCAACTAAAGAGCCCAGCAGTGTGTGAGGAGTGTATAGGAGCCATTTTCAGAGACTCGGTCCATATCAGCATGATGAACAGGTCCTCTGTAGGCTACCTGCTGGGTCTCCCAGTGGATATAGACTCCATCCTCATCAATGGTTCGTTGGTGTGTTTACACATGTATCCTAACTGTGTTTAATAATCCTGAGACTAGACTGATTGTTGTGTTTTACCTGCAGCTGTTCAACGATCAGATTATTCTTCAGGAGCAGGTAGGTGATAATGGCTTAAGTTATCTGTAATAAAAGTTACATTGTACGACATATTTTGAGTTTTTTCTGTCTCTCCTCTCAGGCTCGCAGTGTGTAGAAAATCTGTATGCCAACCTTCCTGGAGCGAGTGTCCCTTTAAACGTCTTCTCGTCATGGGGTGGTGTGAGTTGCCTCGTAAAACTCACCGCTGTCCCCGGCTCTCTGATCCGTCTGACCGTCACCTCGTTCCTCATTGAGCCCAGCGACTGTGTCAGTGATGCCCTGACTGTGTATGACGCTCTGCTGCCCATGAGAGGGCGCATTCTGCACAGGTGAGTCTGCTTCCATTAGACAGCTGATTTCTCTGGGCCTGTTGCCTTACAGACCTCATGGTTCCCCACATATTGCAGCTGCAAGCAATTCAGAAGTTCTCTAAGTTCTGTAAAACACTGAGTATACTAAAGAGAATCTCTGTGCTGCAGGCTGTGTGAGCCAGTGTCCAGCTCCTTCTCCTTGGTGTCTACCTCCAATTTCATGTTACTGTCCTTCAGGATGACTAATGGCAACAAGAGCTTCAGAGGACACTTTGAGGCCATCGCCGAGGAAGGTATGACATTATTTACCTGGTTATTTTATATGCCAGTGGTTCTCTCTATTTGCTTATGTCCACGTAAAATGAAGTAATGTCTGCGTGACACCCCTCAACACATATTTATTACAGGATTGTACATGATTTAAGTGATCATTCCCCTCTCAAATGTAATTAACGAGACCTGAAGGGATCAAATTACCTATGATTTCACAAGAAAAAGGATTATAGAAGTCAGAAAAAAAGAAACATTTCGCATATAAGAAGATCTTTTTTACTCTCCTCTGTTTCATTTATTATCCAGACTCTGGGTGTCTCAGTCCGCAGATTGTCAACCACTGTTATATGCAACATTGCTGTGTAACATACAGTATTTGCTGGAATCCTGAAGCATGTCTCTGTCTCTCTCAGTGTGTATGTCTCAAATTGAGACCCAGTTAGACCCAGACATCACTGGTCAGATCTACAGCCCCTTCCACCCCAGCCTTATGCCCCCACAGTGCTCCTGCACCTGGAGCTTTGAGGTAGCACGCACACACACACACTTGCATGTCTTATCCCGTGACTTAAAATAGCTTTTTATTAATTTCTGTATTGTGTTTATATTTTATTCTAGACCCCTAACAGTGCGTTAGGAGTTGCTCTGCAGTTTCAGAACTATGTATTGAAACCAAAGGACATGAATGGCTGTGACCAAGGCTGGTGGAAAGTCAATGAAATCATGTATGTGGGTACAGCTACATGCATTTGAAAAATCTATTTCATATAATTTTGTCCAAATATGTACAACCATAGATAATATCTCCTTAAGCTAAAAGAAACCATCTTATCAAATACATTATCTAGGGGTTATTTTTACATTGTATTCAATTGTGCATGTACTTATTCAGCCCACAACAACATCCTGTGATGGTTCGTTGATGGTTGCTTTCTTTCCACAGTTTCTGTGGCAGCTACGTGGGACACAACACGGTGTTTCGGATCGCTGACCAAAGCCCCAAGGTGGAGTTTCGCTGCAGCTCACGTAACTCGGTTCAGCCTTTTCAGGCGTCCTACAGCAGCTACAATATCAGCCAACGTAAGCACTGCAGGGCCCAGACTGTGACTCACTCTAACAGCCAGGATACAGCGTAGGAAATGACTGATCAGAGGTGTTTCATTGTACTTGTAGTGTGGATGTGAGTTAATTACTTTGTTTTGAAGTGGATTCTAAAAATTACAACCTTACTACTGCCTTACAGAGAGAAACATTGGAAAAATACACATAAATACATTGTATTTTCATATGAAAAAGAGGGATGAACATTTTTAAATAAAACTACTTTTGTTACTCCACTAAATATATACAATTTTATTAGATTTTAATCTGCATTAATTTCATTTTTTATTTAAAGGGTTTAGTTCTATTTGTCTTCTAGCGTCTTCCCTATCACATGTCTATTATAACCTCTCTTTCCCCACTCATGTGTGCACCAGCCTGTCCAGAGAGCCACTTCCTGTGCTCTACAGGACTTTGTGTGGAGAAGAGTCGACGCTGCGACGGTCTGGACGACTGCCAGGATGAGAGTGACGAGGTCTTCTGCTGTAAGTTGTTGCATAAGTTACATAACACTGATTGTTTAAAAGATTAAGGAAGCATGTGTTTAATTATATTTGCCTGAAGAATCTTGCATTGGAAAAATGTTGTATATGTTCACAGCGAGGCCCACAAAGAACTGTGGGGGCAACAGTCCTCTTCATCCTTTGTTTGTATGCAATGGAGAGACAGACTGCACCAATGGAATAGATGAGCTCAACTGTACTCAGGGTATGAATTTCTACTTTAAAAAGAAAAGTACAATATATATATATATATATATATATATATATATATATATATATATGCCCTTTCACACA